ACCATGCTTCCAAAGTGTGTTCAGAGTTTACTTCATACTCAGCCCAGTGCCACTGGATTGGGTCTGAGTCACTCACCTCTTCTAGACTGTTCCTGTAAGATCCCATCTAGACTCCCTGCTTCTGCCCCGGCTCTCGTAGACTGTTCCAACTTTAGCTGGAAGATTGAGCTTCTATTAACGTGAGGGAAATCGGGGTGCTTCTTTTTCTAAGCATGTCAGCAACTTTCTCCCTCAGTGTAGACTTTACAAGGACCTCAGTTCTCATGTGCTAATGTTCTCCTTGCTTGCATCCGTCTACCTACACAGTTTACTCTAGTACTTAGGCACTCCAGACGAGCATCTACCTCAGAGCCTTTGCATCAGTCTACCTACACAGTTTACTCTAGTACTTAGGCACTCCAGACGAGCATCTACCTCAGAGCCTTTGCATCAGTCTACCTACACGGTTTACTCTAGTACTTAGGCACTCCAGACGAGCATCTACCTCAGAGCCTTTGCATCAGTCTACCTACACAGTTTACTCTAGTACTTAGGCACTCCAGACGAGCATCTACCTCAGAGCCTTTGCATCAGTCTACCTACACGGTTTACTCTAGTACTTAGGCACTCCAGACGAGCATCTACCTCAGAGCCTTGCATCCGTCTACCTACACAGTTTACTCTAGTACTTAGGCACTCCAGACGAGCATCTACCTCAGAGCTTTGCACTGTTGTTTCTTTGGCTTCAGTCAGTTACCCCTTGCAAAGACATGCAGGCGTTACTACCTCACCTTCTTAGACCTTCTTTCACACATCTTTTTCTCTCTTGTGTCTTTTTTATTTAAAGTTAGAAATCATTTCCTTATATTTTGTGTTTATTGTCTTTTTGAGTATAGATATTTTTATTTACTCTGTCAAATTAGGTATCGTCATTATCTGTAACTTTCTAGCAAAGTAATTGGTTAATAAATATTGGTTTAATGAAAATGCACTTCAGAAGGCTGGGCAGTGGTGGTGCACACCTTTAATCCCAGCACTGGGGAGGCAGAGGCAAGTGGATGGATCTCTTGAGTTGAAGGCCAGCCTGATCTACAGAGCGAGTTCCCAGACAGCCAGGGCTACACAAAGAAACTCTGTCTCAGCAACCAAAGAGAAAGAGAGAGAGAGAGAGAGAGAGAGAGAGAGAGAGAGAGAGAGAGAGAGAGAGAGAGAGAAAGGCAGAAAGTGTACTTCAGAATAAGTGTTTCTTTTTTTTTTTTTTTGGTTTTTCGAGACAGGGTTTCTCTGAGTAGCTTTGCGCCTTTCCTGGAACTCGCTTTGGAGACCAGGCTGGCCTCGAACTCACAGAGATCCGCCTGGCTCTGCCTCCCGAGTGCTGGGATTAAAGGCGTGCGCCACCACCGCCCGGCCAGAATAAGTGTTTCTTTAGAAAGGAAATATTGGCAAAGTTGAAGGAGAAATATGTTTGTTAGATATGTCTCATTTTTTCATAACCCAAAAGATTATAACTCATTTGACGTCATTTTTATGGGCACAGCAGTTTCTGTTATGTCATTATCTGCTTCTTTCTGCATATTTTAAGTTACAAATTAAATTTTTAAATGCCAAAGAAAATTGAAGTATAGATAAAAAGATTAAGATCTTTACCTTACAAATACATAAAATCATATATTATAATGATATGATATAACACTTGCTGGTGAGTAAACATTTAGATCTCTTTTCAATAAATTTTAAAACTAAAGACTTTAAAAAAATCAAAAAAGAAGTAAAAAGAAAAAATAAGTGAATATTTCATTGTGTGAAGTATGTTCAACTTGAAAAATATAGAATTACATAAATAAGTCATATGGGATTAAATAAATATAAATAAATCTTCAATATAGTTAAATATAAATCACAACTGTATATGTAGAAGAACTTTTAAACTATTTCTTTACTTATTTCAAAACAATCATATGGTGGTATTTTATTTGTACTGAAATGTGATTTTAATTGTATGTTAATAAATAAAGTTGCCCGGGGGTCAGAGCTATTAGAGCCATAGCAAAAGCTAGGGGATGGTGGCGCACTCCTTTAATCCCAGCACTTGGTAGGCAGAGCTAGGTAGATTTCTGTGTGGTCAAGGATACAGCCAGCGTTGGAGACACACGCCTTTAATCTCAATACCATAGAAGACCTGCAGGGCTGTACATACAGGCAGTGACGAGGCAGTCATGTGTTTGGGTTTACAACCAATGAGAAGGCAGAACAGAAAGTCTATATAAAGACAAACAGACAGGAAGTAGCTCTCTTTCGGAGAAGTCTCTGGGCTTAAGAGGCTAGTTGCAGGAGGTGGGTAAGGCTCTTAGCTCTGATCTCGGCTTTCTTCTTTGCATTGGTTCTGTGTTTCTTATTTAATAAGACGGTCGGTTACATCTACACAATAATTTGACTCTCACTGTCTGAATCTCAGATTAATATTAAGTCCAAAACTCATAAGCAAAGAAAATAAATTCAGTACATCTCTTAAGCAAAAAAGAGTGGTTTTTTATTATTGTTTTTGCTTCAAGTGTGTGGTAAAAGTTTTTATTTTGTGGTCATTTCTGATTTCCTGAAATAAAAAAAAAATCATGTTGTCAGGCAACATCTTATAAAATTTTAAATTGAAATAGAATTACATAATTTTCTTCCTTCTTTCTGCTTACTCCATAACCTCCTACACACCCCACACATACAATTGTTCCCTCTCAAAACTGTGGCCTCTTTTTTTTTTTTAGTAGTTATAGTTTTGGGGTTTTTGTGTGTGTGCGTGTTTGTGTGTATGTATGTATGTATGTATGTGCATGCACACACACATACATGTGCCTAAATATATACACACAGCCTGCTCAGACTGTTTAGTGTTCCCCATTTGTGTATGATTTCTGGCCTGACCACTTGGTATTGGATAACCAATAGCAGGGCTCCTTCTCTCTCTCCTGCTCTCATTAGTTGACGGTAGTTCTTTATCTTGGGGTGGGGCACCATGAGATTTCCCCCTCTGTGTTAGCATATCTCTTGGTGTTGTACTTCTTTAGGTCTTGCTTAGGCAGCCATGTTGTTGAGCTATCATTGGTGAAGTTCCCTGGTGCTGGACAACTTTTGATGCTTCTCTTTTTTTTTCCAATATTCCGTTGATGCTTCTATTATTCTTTTCCTCTTATGTTCTTCTTTCTTCAGTTTCATCTTACAGAATAATATACCCCAAATAAGCCCAAATTGGGTTTACTCTGTTTCATGAAAAAAAAAAATTTTATTCTACAGCTGAAATTATTTACTTTGCCATTGAACTTCCATAGATCATATAGCCTTTAATTTTTTGATAATCATTTCTTTATAAAATTAATTGAAAATATAGAGATGATCATAGTAGAAAAGAGCTGTCTTAATATTTATGTAATTTATTCTTTTTTGTAATTTATTCTTATATGTCATTAAATTTTCATTAGACAAAATTTCTTGTTGTGAGCTAAAAAAAACAAATATAGATAAACTCTAATGGTAATCATGTGTTCTTTACAAATAATAATTAAAGGAGATGTGTCACAGAGTTTTACATAATTTTTAAAATGTGGTAAGTGAGTTAAGTTGTCACATGACACACGTTTGAATGAACATCACAATGCAGGAGAGCTGCCACTTAACCATTGATCACTACATCATATGTTCAGAATATTTTACCTTTGTATGTTTGTACAATGTGCATATCTGTATATCTACATGTTCATTTGTGTGAGCAGAGGCATACCCATGCCATGGCGTGCATGTGGAGTTTTGAGGATAACATCAGGTGTCAGTCCTCACTTCTTACTTTATTTAAGATAAGCCAGCTAGCCCACAGGCTTATGGGTATGCTCCCATCTCCACATCCCATTGTGCCATAGGAGCCCCGGGATTGCTGACACAGTACCAAATCTGACTGTTTGTTTGTTCTAGTCATGCGAGCGCAGAGCCTCATTTGTGTAGCGAGTACTTTTCCTCAACTCCCCAGAATTTATCTTCATAAAGCAGTCTGCTAATTTAAATTAATATTAACTTGAAATGTCTTTGATTTTTGTGGTTACTTTGTTAAATGTGCTAACAGTATTTTACATGCATGAGCTGTGTACAGTCAATTTTATATATGTATCAACATCATATAATCTAAATGCCAAGAGTCTGTTAAGCCTTTTTATCTTTTCAAAAGATTTGTATATTACTCCAAGTAAGTACTGATACAGATGATGCATTATAATTGAGGCCAGAGTAAGAAGTACCAATTTGGATTATAGCTACATTTTGATCGTACCATGAAAACTAATCATTTTCTATTCAATATGACAAGTAGCCATTTGTCAAATAGTATGGAAAGGATGTTGTCCAGATCTTAAGTCAGTATGCTCATTTATTGGTTATTACTCAAATATACTATTTTTAAAGTAGATAAAATGAGGAGTAACTTAATTTCTTTCCCAAACCATAGGTTTTATATTTTATTGCTTTAAGCAGTGTCCAATTGTAACTTCTCATTTGCACTATATCATTTTATAGTCTGTACAGTTGTTATGTAAAATGTTTTAAATAGCTAAAAATCTGGATTGTCCCTTAACACATTTTTATTTTTAAAAGATTAATGTAAGTTGATTATAGACTCCATTATTAAAGTTTACTAGAAATTCAGTGTGATTTTAGATGCATGCTTTTTATTCAGCAGTGGGTTTTTAACCAGAAATATTTGACCAGCAAATAAAATAATTTGAATATAGTTTGATCCTAATTTTATGAAGCTAAATGTTTTCAATATAATATTTATAATAAGACTAATTAAAAATTGTAACTGAATTACCAAAGTTCTAGAGTGTTATTTTGTTTGTATTCAAAATTATTTTTACCTACCATTCTTGTTGCAGAAGAAATCCTTGTCTTTGAGAGAATACAGTGGTGTTATTTACATGAATTCATATGGTGTGGTTAAAAAAATGCTAACTCCCTTATTTAATGGGATTCTTCCCTTGTGGCAGTGCAAACGGCTGCACCAGGAGCTTCACCGTCTGAAAGAGCAGAGGCAGACTTCAGCAAACAACACGAGACATCCGACTGCTGGAAACAATCAGGAACGTGCTCTGAAGGTAAATGGCCGCTCCTTCTTGCAGGCAAATGAAGGTTGTAAGCCCTCGGTGCCAGCTTTCTATGCTGCATATATCAGTTGTGTACATTTCAGCAATAGTGAGCTGTGCTGTTTGCCAACAACCCCTTCTTTAAACACAGATACAGCACCCTTCTGTTATGGTATTATTTTATTTCATGTATGTGTACATGAAAAAACAACGTAATTCTGAATTTTGAGTGGTCGTATATTAATAACTTCTAATATATATTCATTTTCTTTCTGTGTTTATGTTATTACCTTTTAGACTTAATGAAAAGTGACCACTCCAAAAGAAATAATAAATCATCAGCCTTTTCTTTGTGGCGACATTTATTGTAACAGTTTTAAATGTATTGTAGTATTTGTCACCCAGAGAACTGACACTGCTTGAAGGACATGTGAATTTGTTTGGAAACTGAAGGAGTACTTTAAATGTTAAAAGGAAAGAAAGACAATGTATTCAACTGGAACTTGAAACGTGACATATACATTTTATGACGTGTTCTGTCTCGTTGTAATACAGGTCCAGTAATCCTGAGAAAAGCCCATTAGTATGAGTCTTACTATTTGGGTAGGGAGTGTGCTCATGACTTTCCATTCTACTTTTTTCTGTCTCTTTTTTCATTCTTTCTTTTCTTTGGTAGGAGGGGGTGTTCAACACAGGGTTTCTCTATAGCCCTGGCTGTCCTGAAACTTACTGTGTAGATCAGGCTGACTTCACACTTGAAGATCCGCCTGCCTCTGCCTCTTGAGTGCTGGGACTAAAGGCATGTGCCACATGTCCTTCCATTCTACTTTTAAGTTACTACCGTTTTTAATGAAGTGTCTGTCCACTCATGGTCTCAGCTCTCAAGGTGCTTGTATGCTCATTAACAAGTTTAGTCTGTAAGGAACAAAAATACTGTCTTTTTAATTGTGTGACAAGAGATTTGCTAGTTCCCTTAAATTCAATTTTATCTTAGATTATAAGTCAGTATCATGGCTTTCAGAATCAGGCACAGTAAACCAAAACTGAAAAAACATCCTCAAAAAATGCCTTGCTATGCAAGGACGGGGACTTAAGTAAGACACCCAGCACTCAGATTAAACACTGGGTCCTGAAATGTGCATTTGTGACCAATGGGTCCCTGGGGCTTCCAGTCTAGCCAAGTCCATGAGCTGTAGGAGCAGAGAGCTTCTGTCTACAAGAATGAGATAGTGCAATGAAAGGATACCTGATGTCCATCTCTCCCTCCACATGGACACCCACACAAGAATATGCACCCACACAAGAACATGCTCCCACACAAGAACATGCACCCACACAAGAACATGCTCCTACACAAGAACATACATCCACTCAAGAACATGCTCCCACACAAGAACATGCACCCACACAAGAACTGCTCCCACACAAGAACATGCACCCACACAAGAACATGCACCCACACAAGAACATGCTCCCACACAAGAACATGCACCCACACAAGAACATGCACCCACACAGGAACATGCACCCACACAAGAACATGCACCCACACAGGAACATGCACCCACACAGCCATACACCCTACTCCTATACACACACACTGAAAAATGTGTAAGATGTTTTTCATCTGGACAAAGTACAAAACTTAGTAAAAAGATTTTTCTACAAAATATTTTTGAAATTCATGGTGGCAGACTTATAAATTAGTTGCCATTAATCCATTTTCTATTAAATTTACAAGTAGACCAAAACTATAGATAAGAGAATTATAGATTACTATGATTATTTTTAATTATCCCCAAAGAATAGATAATTTTATGACAATTAAGTATAACTTTGTAAAGTGTGTGTGTACATACAAAATGGGAAATAAGTGTTCTAAAGCCATCCTCCACCAAACATGACTCAGGACAGAGCATGTGACAGTATGTTATGGCTGTTTCAAGTTAAAACAGGACCTAAGATACACATTCTAACATAGTAATCATTAACATAGTCAAAGAGAGAAATAATATAAATTTCTGTCACTTTTGCATATTTATGGTAAATGTATTTAAATGGTGATGGCTATTTATGGAGAGAAATACATGCAAACTTCTGAGAAGTTATTAAAGTTAGAAAGGAATAAGTAGACCACCCAAGACACATGGGAGTTCAAAGCGAAAATGAATCACCTGTTTAATGGAAATCTCTCTAGACTATAACATTTAAAGTAATATGTAAATGTAACTCATGTATACTCCTGAGAAATATACTGCATTAAAATCTTTTCTATTTGATCTTTGTTTTTTCTTCAAAAGTCTGATTTTGATGTTGCATCTATTAACTAAAGCTGATTTAAGTCCTGTAAAGAGGAGAGGAAGAATCAGTTTTTGAAAAATTTCATCAACTTGGCCTTTCTGTGTGAATTGAAACTCATAAAAAAATGTCTGCTGTGCATAATGCTGACTTTTGGTCTGTTTTTAAATGATTCCTTCATGGAAAACTTAAATTCAGTATAAAAATATTATCACTCATAGTACATTTCCTTATTCTTTTTTTAAAAGATGTATTTAGTTTTATTTTATGTGTAGTAGTGTTTGCTTGCGTGTGTATATGTGCACCATGTATATAACTAGTGCCTTTGGTGGCCAAAAGAGGGCATGGTGTCACTGGAGCTGGAGTAACAGAGCTGTGAACCTCAGTGTGGGAGCTAGGAACCAAACCCAGGTAGGTCCTCTGTAAGAGTAACAAGTGCTCTTAACCACTGAGCCGTCTCTCGGGTCCACATTTATTTATTCTAATAATCACAGTTTTAAATGGTTGTTTGGGGAAATCTCACTTTCATTTGGTGATTGTTTTTCTGGTTGTCATTCAAGTTATGGATGACCCGTTTGATAGGAAACTATCAGTCCATTTATATGTACCACTATGATTTAACATTAAATTTGTATCTAAATGAACATTAACAACATTTTTAATTTAACATTAAGTTTGTATCTAAATGAACATTAACAACATTTTTAAAAGAGTGACTGTCTTTAGAAGTGTTTAATCTCAGCAATATTTCTGATATTACAAATTGTACTATCATCATTAACACCGATAAATATAAACTTTAATCAGAAACTATCAAATGTCAATAGCTCCTCAGTCAGGAGTGGGCCTTCATACTTATTGCCCTGCTTTGTGCTGGGATTTTGTCTAGTTTGAACTAATACATATCTTGTGCATGCTGTCACAGTCTCTGTGAATTCATATATGTAACTCCTGTTGTGTGCAAAGCGCTATTTCCTTGAAATCATCCACAACCTCTGGCTCTTATAATCTGAACACTTCCTCTTCTAACAATATTTCTGTGGCTTGGAGAATGGGTGTAACACAGGTGTCCCATTTATGGCTGTGATGTGCACTCAAGCATCTTAGGCTCTATACATTGACTAGTTATGGGTCTCTGTGTTAATTGCCATCTACTACAAGAAGAAGCTTCTCTAATAAAAGCTGAGAGACATGCTGATCTATGGGTATACTGATAAGTCATTAGGGATCATTTTAATACTATGTCTGTTTAGCAAAATAGTAGTAGTAGGTTCTCTCAAAATAGTAGTAGTAGGTTCTCTCTTAGGGCCTAGGGGTTATCTAGCCACAGTTTCTTGGACTCATGAAACAGGTATGGGTTTCATTTCATGAAGATAGTTTTGAATTGAGCCTGAAAGTGGTTGGTTAAACCCATAACATGTGTGCCATTATTACAGCATTGAGCATACCTTGTCAAGCCACACATCTATGTAGTTCAAAATGGTTCAGAGCTGGATTACTGTTCTTCTCTGGTACTGTTCATAGCACCTTCCAACATTATGAAAACTAGATGCTAGTAGGGATGAGGCTTTGCGATCAGCACACACTCAATTTCTCCATGTTTATGATTCAAGTAAGTGATGTCTTCAACATAAGACAATAGGAATAGGGTCTTATTGTCAGGTTCTGGATGGAGGGTAGCCAAGAGTGATGGAAGTAGCTTATAATTTTAGGATGCTTATGAGGTACCTTTGGGAAACAAGTCAAAAGAAGGTAACCCATTTCTGATTCTGTAGTTTATATTTGGTAACATGTGGTATCCATTTGCGGTATCCCTCCCATTCCAAAGTAACTCCATTTAAACTCTTTTTATATATGGATATATTTTAGGAAGCTTCTGAGTAGTGGGTTTCCATATGACTTTTTTCTTAGCAGCACCTGGAACCTTCTCCAAAATCATATTATAGAACATAAATCATGTCTCGATGAATAAAAAAAAAATAGATAATTCCTTGTGTTCTGTTTAGCCACAATGGAATAAAACTAGAAATTAACATCAGAGAAACTATAGAAACCACAAAAAAAATGAGAATAAAAAAATACATTTTGGGTAACAATGGGACATCCAAGAAATCATAGAGGAAAACTAGAATTTCTTTCTTTTTTTTTTTTTTTTTTTTTTTTTTGAGACAGGGTTTCTCTGTGTAGTTTTGGTGTCTGTCCTAGATCTCGCTCTATAGACCAGACTGGCCTTGAACTCACAGAGATCCACCTGCCTCTGCCTCCCGAGTGCTGGGATTAAAGGTGTGCACCACCGCCACCTGGAGAAAAGTAAAATTTCTTAAAGGCAGATGATAATGAACATACAACCTACCAGAACCTCTGGGAAACAGCCAAGGAAATCTTAAGAAGAAAATTTTTAGCAGTAAGTACTCATATCAAATAACCTAATGGTGGTGTACCTCAAGGTTCTCAAAACACAACAAGCAGCCAATCCTAATCGCAGTGGATGGTGTAGGAAATGATAAAGCTCAGAGAAGTAGAGATTAAAAGAACAATACACAAAATTAGCCAAACAAAGAGTTGGATCTTTGCTGGAGGCATTAGTATAACCAAACATAAATTATACTGCGAGTTATAGTGACAAAATCAGCCTGGTGGTACTGACATAAAAACAGATAGGTAGACCAATGGAGTAGAATAGAGGACCCAAAAATAAAATGTTAAAGCTATGT